AGAGTCTGGGATCCCCAAGCCATAGTCCCAGGCATGGCAGCTCCTCCTTTTCCCGCTGCCTTTTGGCTCCATCGGAGGAAGAGGAGGTGGGGCCAAGACTCAGGCTAGCACAGAACAACATTAACATAGGGGTTGGAGCCTCATTCGTTCACCATTCAATCACATATTCAATAATGATTTAATGTAAGTTCTGTGTAAGAAACGATAGAAACTGATTGCAGGATCCAGTTTAAATTGGGCAGTTGGGCTTCTTTGAGGAGGTGACATTCAATGCAAGACCTAAGCGACAAGACACCTGCTGTGTCAAGCTGCCATGAGAAGCAGAGAGAATAGTAGATGCAAAGGCCCTGTGGATGGAGCAAAGGGGCATGTGGCTAGAGCATAACTGGTAGAGGAGAGACCAATGGGATGAAGTCTGAGCTGGGCAGGGCTGCATCATGGAGGGTCTTGTGACTGTGGTAAGGAAGTGGCTTTTGTTTTCAGTTTGATAGGGAGCCCCTGAAAGGATTTTAGGAAGAAAGACATGACCTGGTTTGTGTCTTTAGGAACCACTGGCTGTGATGGGAAGGGTGGCTGGTAGGGAGCAGGATGGACACAGGTGAATAGTCTGTTCCAGTGGGATGACAGGCACCCCCGGAGAGAGGATGAGTGCTCAGCCGCTCTGCGGTGGGGAATGTAGGTCAGGCAGCCCAGCCTCCTCAGCCAAGCCGCGGGCGCAGCCCCCTCGCCTGTCAGAGACAAAAGCCGACTCTGAGATGTGTGGGCTCAACTGAGAGATCAGTGCTGGCAGGGGAGGCAGAGGTAACAGTCACCCAGGTGCAGGGATCTGGGCCACTGCCTGGGGGGTCCCTTTGTCCCCCTTCCCACGGTGCCTCTCCCACCACCCCTCCGCCCCTTCAGGAATCTCCCTGGCAGGCCAGCCCAGAGGCAGGCCTTGATGTGTGCCTGGAGCGGGCAGCTGTATTTTAAGATCAGGGCTCAGACCTCTAAATAACCATAAACACAGCCAGCTTCCCTGGTACAGAAGGAGGGAGACGGCTCCATTTCTCTTTGGCGCAGTGGCTGGGAAATAAACAGGCGGCTCTGCCTGTCACATACACTTAACCCTCTGCAAAGGCATCTGTCAGACACGCAGAGCTCCAGCCTCAGCCTTTCCAAGAAATAACTGAGATGCCCCAAGCTTGGGCTTCTCTCTGCAGCTTTTAAGTTCCTTTCCCCTTCAAGGAAAGGTGGGTGTGGGGGCCCTTGACCTCAGGCAAAGCTAACGAAGGGCAGGTGTGAACACTAGGCTGCCGAGCAGCTGGGGGCATGTTGGCACAGCTCTGTGGGCTGTGGAAGTGGACGAGAGAGTGGCGGAGAGGGAGGAAGGGAAGTGCAATGGAAAGGAGGAAGGGGGGCAGGAGAGAGTGGGGTGCGGAACCGAGATGGGTGAAAGCCCAACGGGCCTGGGCAGAGCACAGGTAGGGTGGTCGTGGGGGTGGGAGAAACAAAGAGAAACAGAAGGCAGAGGGGGCTCTCTCTTCATGGGCCCATGGAGCGAAATCTCCCACGACCCTAAAGGAAGAAGGGATGAGCAAGAACAAAAACAGACAGGAACATAAGGAGGCAGGCAGATAAATAAAACAGGGGAGGGAGGAGAACCCCAGAGTTACCAAACCCAAGCATTTCCCCGGGGAGGTGGGACCTCCTAATTCAGCAAGAGAAGGTGATTTATACACTGAGCTAAACCAGGGAGAGTCCATAGCGAGGCCAAGGGAATGGGAGTGGCTGGGAATGGTGGCCATGCTGCAGAAGCCACACAGACATGTGGTGGCGAAGCAGAAGGGGAGCTGTGAGCTTTGGGGTGGTCAGAAGCCAGGCAGCACCCAGTGAGGGTGGAAGCGAAGGGTTAGAGCGAGTCACAGGGCACACAGAGCCAACCTCTCGGGTGTTGCTGTGATGGACACCTGCAGCAGGGAGATCTCATAGCCACCGCCACCCCCAAGATGTGGGAGGGGGTGAAAAACAATGAAAAGGCAGCAACACGGCGATCACGTGTGTACTTACACACACACACACACACACACACACACACACACACCCTCAGCAAGCGCAGGCACACTCTCAGCAGCACTCCCGTGGGGGTGAGGGAGACCCAGGGGCCTCTACACTGTAAGCCAGCCAGTGTGGAGGGAGCCACAGACTTCAAATGATAGATCCAACAGACCTAGATAGGGGATGAGGTATGCATACTCCAAATGCAGACTTTGACAGAAACAGAGATGGAGACAAAGACGACAAATACCAGATTCTCTCTCTCCCCCACCCCCTCTCTGTCACACACACACACACACACACACACACACACACACACACCTCTCTAAAAGCATCAGACACAAGAGAAAGGAAGCTCATGTGACCCTCACCACCCTATTCTCCCCTCCCACATGTGTCTGCCTCCCCGGAATCCCCTGCCCTTGCAGATCCTGCAGAAACATGGCTGTGGAGCCCCGTCAGCAGGCCCCACACCTGCACACACCCCCACACGCATATCTGGAGGCCAGCAAGGCTGGCACAGGGACAGTCTCCTGTAAGAGAAGCCGGGCTTGGATTCAGGAGCCCCCACTAAAGCCAGATCAAGGGGCTTCCCCAGGCCATCCAGGGAGCCCCAAAGCACTGGCGTTTCCCAGGGCACCTGTCTAGATGGGACAGCAAGTCCAGGCCCACATACAGAGAGGATGTGCTTTCCACTGTGGCTGGGCTGGCGGTCCTGCTGGTCCAGCGCCCACCACAAGGGCTTTCCCCGACACGTCTGACCAAGACCTGTAGCCCACTAGCTCCCTGCTAACTCACATGGTGCTCCAGTATTTGCAAATGGGGTCTATGAAAAGGGCTGAGAGACTAAGGGGAGGGGCTCCCCAGAGACTGTGGGTCCATTTCTCAACTCAGGCCCAACAGGCAGTGACTTAAGGAATAATCTTTGAAGACCAAGAGCTCAGATTTAGGCCGCAAGTCTCCTGGGGAATGGGGACACAGATACTGAACACACTGACACGGGACACACATCCACACTGGACCCACGCCTACACGGTCCCCACTGTGTCCACAGGCACACAGTGCTCATTTTATCACACACAGAGCCCATCACAGTCCCATTGAATACTACACTGCATACAGCTCACTGTACCCAGTCACCCGTTGTGACCGGCAACACTGACATGCCCCAGGTTCTCTGCACTGTACTGTACTGTACACATCTCCTCACCCTTCGGATGTTCCATTATTATCAACACTGCACATACAGACACTGAAAAGTCCTACTGTCCTCAGACTACACACACACACACACACACACACACACACACACACACACACACACACACAGCTCGCTACCAGCCTCTAAAGCCTGCACACCACACCGGCCAATACCCTACACACAGGGCGCCCGTACAGAATTCCGCAAAAGAACTCCTTTGACTCCCTCCCAGGAGGTGGGGCCTGCGATCCCGCCCCTGGCAAGCTAAGATGAGCTGACCTCAGGCTTCCCTGCCCCTTTTCTCCCCTCCAGCTGCCTTTCCCCAACGCCCACCCCCAGCTTCAGGAAACTTTTCATCAGGTCCCTCGAGCCTTGCCCTTCCCCCAGACTCACGCAAGCCGCCCCTCCTTCACCAGCTGGGCTCTCGCCCCGCACCCAGTGGGAAAAGGTCACCTAGGCAGTCCCCAGCCTGCACCCTGGGAGGAGGGAGCGTGGCAGTAACAGCCGTCACCGAGGGATGGGAAAGGTGCCGGCCCTGTATCGAGCCGGGGGCGCAAAGGGGTCGCGGTGACGCGCCAGAGGAGAGCCGAGGAGCCGAGGCGGCGGCAGCTTCATCTCCGGAGTCTGGGGCGGCGGCCGCGCCCGGTACTGGGGCGCGTGGAGCTGTCCGTTCAGCACCACCGCGCTGCGCCCCAGCGCAGGGCCAAGCCGAGGCGCACCGGCTCCGCTCCCGCTCCAGCTCCCGTGGGCTCCTGCGGCGCGGGCTGCTGTCTCTCTCGGGGGCTGAGGGCACGCGGATCGAGAGCGGGGGGGGGGGGCTCTGCAAGCGGCGAGGCCACGCAGCCACCTGTGAGCCTCCCGCAACTGCGCGCGGCGGCGGCATCTCCGGCCGGAGACAGGAGGAGACGCTTGGCGGACCCCGCCCGCCGGCCCGCGGGGCGCACACACAGGCGCACACACACTCGCACCCGCGAGCACACGCACAGCCAGCCGGCAGCGGCGACCGCAGCGATGCTAACAAGCAGGTCGGGGAAGTTTCCCGCCGGCCTCGGCCGCGGGCCCCGGTGCTCGCAGGTAAGCGCTTCCAGAACGCGCAGGGCCAGCCCTGGCAGCTCCGCTGGGTAAGGCGCGGCGCACGCGGCTCCGGGGCACCGCGCCAGGCGGGCAGGGAGGCCCGGGGCTGGGGGCGAGGGGGCTCCAGTCTTGAGGGCTGGACGCAGGGGACGCCAGGCTGGCCCCCTACCCCAAGCCCGGGTTTACAGACACGAGCGGTAAATTTCCCCGCCCCCGCCTCCCGAAGCTGCGCGCCCCCCACCTCGGCCCAGCCCTGCCCGTGCGCGTCCCAGGTACAGTCCCGCCTGTCTGCGGCGAACGGGCGGGGACGTCTCCTCCGCCCGCCTACGGGCAAGGTCAGCTTTCAACCTCCCTGGGCTCTCACAGGCGCGGGGGCGTGACCCCCGCAAGCGTAAAGCGATCGACAGGACCCCCGGGGTGGGGGTGGAGGCGCGGCCATGCTACTGAAAATAAACCCTCTCCTCCCAAACCTTTCCTTGGGAAGGGGCCAAACCCCATGGAACCTTCCCCCCCGTCCCCGTGCCCTCAGCCCTCCAGAGACCCGCCTGGGAGGGACTGGGCTCGCCAGAGACGGGTGGGGAGACAGGAGAGGGGCGCCCGGGCTCCGAGCGCCCGGCGCTCGCAAGACGTGGTTTCCTCCGCCTGCAGGTGTAGCGCCCCCGCGCGGCACGGGTGGCCGGGCGTCTCCAGCATGACCCGCCAGAGCCTGTGGGACGTGTCCGAGGCCAACGTCGAAGACGGAGAGATCCGCATCAACGTAGGAGGCTTCAAGAGGCGGCTGCGCTCGCACACCCTGCTGCGCTTCCCTGAGACGCGCCTGGGCCGCCTGCTACTCTGCCACTCGCGCGAGGCCATTCTGGAGCTCTGCGATGACTACGACGATGTCCAGCGTGAGTTCTATTTTGACCGCAACCCCGAGCTCTTCCCCTATGTGCTGCATTTCTACCACACCGGCAAGCTTCACGTCATGGCGGAGTTGTGCGTCTTCTCCTTCAGCCAGGAGATCGAGTACTGGGGCATAAACGAGTTCTTCATCGACTCCTGCTGTAGCTACAGCTATCATGGCCGCAAAGTGGAGCCCGAGCAGGAGAAGTGGGACGAGCAGAGCGACCAGGAGAGCACCACGTCCTCCTTCGATGAGATCCTGGCGTTCTACAACGACGCCTCCAAGTTCGATGGGCAGCCGCTGGGCAACTTCCGCAGGCAGCTGTGGCTGGCGCTGGACAACCCTGGCTACTCGGTCTTGAGCCGGGTCTTCAGCATCTTGTCCATCCTGGTGGTGTTGGGGTCCATCACCACCATGTGCCTGAATAGCCTGCCGGACTTCCAAATACCTGACAGCCAGGGCAACCCGGGGGAGGACCCCAGGTTCGAAATTGTGGAGCACTTTGGTATCGCCTGGTTCACATTTGAGCTGGTGGCCAGGTTTGCTGTGGCCCCTGACTTCCTCAAGTTTTTCAAGAATGCCCTAAACCTTATTGACCTCATGTCCATCGTCCCCTTTTACATCACTCTGGTGGTGAATCTGGTGGTGGAGAGCACACCTACCTTGGCCAACTTGGGCCGGGTGGCCCAGGTGCTGAGGCTGATGCGGATTTTCCGCATCTTAAAGCTGGCTAGACACTCCACTGGCCTCCGCTCCCTGGGGGCCACCCTGAAATACAGCTACAAGGAAGTAGGGCTGCTTTTGCTCTATCTCTCTGTGGGGATTTCCATCTTCTCTGTCGTGGCCTACACCATTGAAAAGGAGGAGAACGAGGGCCTGGCCACCATCCCCGCCTGCTGGTGGTGGGCCACCGTCAGTATGACCACTGTGGGATATGGGGATGTGGTCCCAGGAACTACGGCAGGGAAGCTGACCGCCTCCGCCTGCATCCTGGCCGGTATCCTGGTGGTGGTACTGCCCATCACCTTGATCTTCAATAAGTTCTCCCACTTTTACCGGCGCCAAAAGCAACTGGAGAGTGCCATGCGCAGCTGTGACTTTGGAGATGGAATGAAGGAAGTCCCTTCCGTCAATTTAAGGGACTACTATGCCCATAAAGTTAAATCCCTCATGGCAAGCCTGACGAACATGAGCAGGAGCTCACCAAGTGAACTAAGTTTAAATGATTCCCTACATTAGCTGAGAGGGTTCGTCATCCTCACACCCGCGTTGCTGAGTTGCCTCTTGTGCCTCTGGCACAGTTCGGGCGCCTTAGGGTTATGGCCCAAGGAGTAGGTCCAGCCCCACAGGGGAGAGATGCATGGGATATGCACCCCAGGTTGCTTTCACAGCCTTTAGAATCATTTTTAGAGGGTGTTGCGTCAGACACCACGCCTTTGCACCCTTCCATGAAATGACACTCACTGGTCTTTGCTTCGTGGGCATACAATGTTCACCTTTCTGCCAGATGAGTACCACCCAGAATGCTAATTTTTTCTGTTTATCGTGTGCTCTATTCTAGTGCTCGTGGCCCAGTACTGTGAGTGTTCTGTGCTCTCGTCTCTGAGGTTGTCTTGTGAGTCCTGTACCAAAAGCCCCCACAAGTCTGTCCGGTGGAAACACATCTGTGGGGTCGGCAAGGCAGTGATGAGATTTTGCTCAGTCATGTGAAAACAGAATCTCAGTTCTTTATCCATTGCTTTCATTTAGTGTTGTGACCAAAACAAAGAATCTGAAGTTAAGCACACAGGACCAATGCAAGTCTGTGAGTTGTTTTTACCAATAATCTGTAGCAATGTGACTTGCATGGGTACCCCGGTCACCTTTAGAATGATGTACACTAATGTTCATCTTGTAAATGTCGGCTTTAGAGAATGTTACTCAGTTAAACATGTAGTGATGATTGATTTTTTTTTTTTCCCAAGAAGAGAAGCATTAGGGACAGGGCTTCAGCTACACTGTAGGCCAAATCATGGGATACCTGAAGACCTTTCAAAGCCAGGCCTTCATCTTTCCTAGGGTGGCCATAAAGACGTTTATTTCTAGCTGAGGTTCCTGGGCTAGGCCGTTTGACGAAATTTTGCTGTGTCTTAGATATAAGCATGTTTTGGCAATATTTATTTTTTAAGATGTTTAGAAGTAAGGTCGTGTTGTCTTTCTCAACTAAAAAGAGGTTTACTGTTGTTATTATCTCCCTAAGGCAAACATTACTGGGTTGCTAACAAGGGCAGTAGCTTAGAAACTTTGTTGCCTGCTCTGGAAGCTCATAAATTAGAGCCCCTTTCTTTCCGAGCCGAATTTACCTGGATCATTTTGCTTCTAGGATACAGTATGTTATATATGACGCTCTAATTGCCCTGGAGTTCCTGGTATGACGTGGAAGCCCGGCAGTGTGGAAGTGTGTACTCAAAATATAGACATGCATGAGTGAAGTTCTGTGTGGCTTACCCAGGACGGAAATACTGTAGCGCTTACTTCCATTTTCAATGACCTTTTGTTGGGAGAGGGTGGGTAGAGGCCAGGAGCAAGGAAAGAGTTGTAAAACAAAACATTGTTACTTCATAAAATGCCATCAATTGCAAACTTCTTGAAAAGCTTACTGCTCCTTAAAAGACCTTTGAATTTTTAAATTTTTAAACTTGGGTTGAAAGTTGAGAACGCTTTCCTTCTCCACAATGCCCTCTCTCCTCTTCTTCAGTCAAACTAGCACACAACATGGTGAAGGGAACCTGGGCCCCTTTGTAACATAGTTCTCCAGGTAATCAGGTGGTTCATCAGTTGGCTTCCATTATTGTTCTGTCTTTGGAAAGGCTGCTGAATCCAGGGGTCTAAATAAGGAGTTAGGCAGGCTTTTTATCCAAGATTTGGGCCTTCTCTACAGAGGTCCATTTTGTGTCTGAGCTGGCTGAAGAAAACACATACCTCAGGGTCTTGTCAGAAGGCTTTGTTACTTATAGTTGCCATGGCTTCTACAGAGTAGGCAAATGGTTGGATGAACACAGTGGTCCCTTACACCCTTGAGTCTCCAGTTCAAATTCTTCCATGAGACTGGAGCCTCATGGGGGGCATGGAGCTGGCCACCTCCCAGTGCCTGGTGGTCTACCGTCCATGTCTCTTTGTAGAAGCATCAGGAAAGGAGAGATGACTTGGGGGCAACTGGTCATCAGTCAGAAGAGCAGGGTTGTTTTTTAGAGTTTGCACATGGTGTGCATGGAGCACTAGGTTTGGCTCATGCTTCCAGCACTGGATGGTGGAGAATTTATGAGATCATCCCCAGCCGCACTGTGGGCAGGTGAGGGTACAAACTTTCGGGGACTGTTCAGTTGGGCAAGGATCGGGGTTCTCGGGTCACCAAGCACGGTATCCATGGTCACTGGCCATAAAGCTTGTGATAAGTTGAAACAAAGGCAGGAGGCAGAATAACTTGGTCACTCTCATGAGTATTTTTCTCAACAGGCAGGTTTTACCACCAAAAAAGTGATAACCCCCAGTGGTTACTCTTTGCTGATGCGAAAGCTAGAAAACTTGACTTTCCATTTTAGTAATGACTTGCATTTATTTGGTGCCTTTCATTGGGGGAATCCCAAAGTGCTTTAGAGACTGTCTTTTTAACATCTCTTGTACATATTTATACACTTGTATAAAATATCGCTGTGCCCATCCTGGAACTTTAGTCACTTCTGAGAGTGAGAATGTCCTAATAGCATTGACTTCTCCAAGTGGTGGTTTCAGAACAGAGGGAGAGAGAACAACCCAGCTGGCTTGAACCCTGGAGTTAATTCCCACAAAGGATGGCGCCTGGATGTGGCCTAGGGAGAAATAACCTTCCTTTCCTCCAAGTACCACCAAGGTATGGAGTATAAGTGCTCTCCGTTGGGCTCTGTCTAGGTAACATCTTATGTGGCAGTTTCTTCTGGTCTCTGAAACTAGTCAGGGAGGATCAGGTTAGTTTTATGCTGTTTCTGGAGGTAAGGATATAACTATGAGGTGGCATCTTTGGCCACCAGGCTGTCAGACTGACCCATAAACCTCCTTTAGGGGGACACAATAGAAGCTTCAGGTCACTTGTTTCCAGCTGTGGCTTAAGAGCAACTTCACTCCCAGCATTTGAAAGTTGTTATTTTCAATGCCACTGGGACACAGGTATGGACCAGGCCCTTCTGACAACACATGTGATGAGCATTTCAAAAGTGCCGGTTAGAAGTGACACTGTGTCTTTATTGCATGGATATTGGTTATAGATTTGTGTTTTAAGCCAAACGCCCTCATTTCCTGGGTTTGCTCCTGAGGAGGGGCATGTTGTAATGCTGAGCTGATTTGTAGCTCCTAAGGTAGTAATTGGTATTTAACATTTGGATCTGTTATTTCTACTTCTCTTAGTACTCAAATAATTGAACTACCTGCTAATTCTTGCCTCATTTCAAAGAAAATGATTTGTTCTGCACTTTGGGATAGCAGTGATCTGTACAGGCTGTGTGTTGTCTACTTGAAGGCTTAACTGGTATTTCTTGTATGTTTTAACAGCATGACTTGTTACAGAGTTGTAATTTTCAAAATTGAGAACGCTGTATTTGCGATGTCAGTTTTAACACTCATTAACACACTACTGTGCGCGCATTGACACGGGCCCTGCTGAACCATTATGTCTGGTGGCTGCACTTTAGTCTCCATGGCTCGACTCGGGAATGAGGGGGAATGCTGACACACTCAGGGCTCCAGCCTTGAAGATTAAATAGAAAAAGATTATTTATGCTTCCTTAAGGCACTTCAATTACGTATGGAGTGGCAAACACAAAGGTGTGCAGCACTGGGGACCGGAGTTCTTGGGGAAGGCTGGGCTTTGAGTGTTTTTTGGGAAGGAAGAGCTGTTGTTTATTCTTTGCAGGCATATAGAGGTGGCCCCCTTTTCACCAGGATCCAGAGCCTCCAGCCTGCTTTGTAGAAAGGATGGTCATTTATTCTTGGAACCCTCATGACACAGACAGCCATTCTCCCCTTCCACTCTGTCTTGCTCAGCATCACTGATGGGCCCGCCAGTGCCAACCCCACCCCACACTCCCAGGTGCCATTGTCCCCGCTGTTTGCGGTACTTCCCTGACAGTAACTTGGGTCCAGGGTCTGCTGAGTGCCGTGGCTGTTTTGGTGTGAATATTGCTGGGGGATACATGGAACCAGCCCTCAGCACCTGCTTAACCTGGTAGGGCCTTAGACCATGAGTTATTGCAAAGGCCACGGTATGTCTGTAGGAAGGTCCCTGAACTCTACTCTCAGTTTTGCCTTCAATTCTGTCATCTCACGCACATCATTGGCCTTTCTGAGCCTCACACCCTACTGCTGTAAAGCAAGAGGGTTGGATTAGATCATCCTTAAAACCCTGGCCAGTTTTCCATCTCGATGCAAAAACAGAATTTCTGCAGGTCCCTCTACGTTCACAGTATAGCAATGAGCAGGTCCTGATAACCTTAAGCAGAGCAGAGGGACTGCTCACAAACCTATCTGCTTTCATTTCTCTCTTCAGTAACCAACCACAGTGGATGACACTTTCAGAGACAATGACACCAGAGAAACATTTGGACTGTTATCTGTGCCAGGTGACTAGAGTTTTAACATAACTGACAAGTGTCTCCTTTGGGCTTGAAACTATTTATACACCTAATCCAAATTCCTGCTATTAAAAAAATCACTGGACACAGAGGAAAATCACATTGATCCCATTTGGCTTCAGGACTCTTTGCCACTTATGTGTGTTCCTTTTGTGAAGCAGGGTGGACACCCCACTTTGTTCCCGAGAGGTCCCAGGGCCCCTGAGGGGAGTAAAGGCAGATGGATCACCCCCATCCCATAAAATTCTCGCTGAGGAACAGTGGCAGAACGGTGGGCAGCAGGCAGTGTGAACCTGCCTCCTGTCTCCTGGGGGCTGAGGAAGGTGCTGAGGGACACGCATGCAGCACTGAGAAGGTCTGCGAGGTCTCCAGAGCCCTTGCATCCCCACCGAGTGGGGCAGAGTGCACGTTCCTCTCCCCCAGGGGCAGAAATGGGTGTTCAGGCATATTCTGGGGCCAGGATGCCTTGTATCTTCAAAGGAAAGACAAACACCTCCTCTTGAGGGAAGAACTTAAATACTGTGCTCACATGGTTATTATCTTCTCTTATTTTTTTTTAAGATTTCATTTACTTTTTAGAGAGAGAGACAGTGAGAG